AAAGCATGTTCTTCTTTCTCCTGGCTAAACTGGTCATAAATAAGCTTAATGAAGAATATCGACAAGTTTTATCAACGAAACGCCTTCTTCCCTTACTTAACATTTTTATCGCGACGTTAGGATTAGTAGTACACACAAAAAAGAGAAGCATTAAGATTGCACTAGTGAATAAGAATATAAGAGTAAAGAAGGGGATAAAAATAAGCAAATAAAACTTATTACACACACAGCTTTGTTTTTGTTTTTCTTTGGAATGAGAGGAAAATATTAAAAAAATATTTGGTTTGTAATATCCACTACGTTTAATGATTTTCTAATCTTCCTAACGATTTTAAATTGCATTAAATTAGGCAATAAAAATAATTTTTTGTTTTATTTGCATTATTTGCTCATTTGTCTTGGTAATTTAATGATACTTAATAAGTCACTGTTTACAGAACATTCGGAGTAATTATAAAATCATTTAAATATAGTCACGCTTGTTTCTCAGTTGTTGTCCACAAATATTAAACAATTAAATGTAAAATAAAATTTACCAAAAAAAAAAAAAAAAAATCTGAAAGTTTTCAGATTTTAAATTACGTCCAAGGGGGCGTTTTTCTTAACATTTTGTGCGTTGCCGTTATTTATTAAATATCGTGTTCTTCGCACTTAAAACCTTAAAATTCAGTTCAACAGGAATATCACAAAATAAGTTTAAAATGAGCATATCTGATAAAATTTTTTTTTCTTACAGTGTTGCCATTGTTCGCTTTGAAATCGTTTAGTTTGTTAATACGTAAAAAATCCGTTAAAGTGTTACAAAATAGGAAATCGATAATAAAACAAATTTCAAATTTCAATTAGGGTTTCCACATGCCCATATTCTGTGAAAGATTACGTTATTCAAATTTTGATGGCTCTAGGTACCGTTGTTTTATCACAATGCGAGAAACAGACATACATTCATGCAGATTCTTCATTATTTAATTTTTTTAACTATAATACAGGGCGATAATATTTGGTGGCGACAATTTGAAAAGTGAAACAACGCTTATCGTGAATCGACGCAAAATGCGAAAACGAAATTAATAATCCTTCTGGGCAAATTGCCCCTTTGGACTAATGATTTGATTTTTTACATGCGTGCTCTCAAATGAAGTCGCAGATAACTCAGATACCATTTTTAGAATTTCCTTACCCGTTCTACTTGGGGTAGTGGTTAGTGACTCTGACTGCCATGCCGAAAGGCCCGGATTCGAATCCCAGAGAAGAAATATACACTCACTTCCAAAAGTTAAGCACGAAGACGTAAAATGCAAAAATATCAACAAATACAAATACAAAAAATTCGGCAGGAATGTAGCATATATATTTATGCATGAAACAAAATCAATAAATTATATACAGAAATGAAAACAATATTAAATTTTTGCAAGTTATCAGATAATGACATACTGGAGGCTTAAACAGAATTATGTATAAAGTGGAAATAAACAGCATAAAATGAAAAAAAGGACATTAATAGGGTGTGTGATCCCCCTCATCTGTATACAAAGTTTACACCTTGTGATTATGCTTTCAATTAAGTGGTCAACAACTGCAGAATTAAGCAATCGCCATTCTTCTTGTAGAGCAGTTTCCAGCTCAATAAGAGTGACTGGAGGTGGGAAACGTGAAGATACAGCACGGCCGAGAGCATCCCAAAGATTTTCAATGGGATTAAGGTCGGGCGAATATGCTGGCCACGCCATACGCGCAATCCTTTCACTCCCCAGGTAGTCATCGACAATGTCAGCTCTATGGGGACGTGCGCTATCGTCCATTAAAACAAAAGTAGGGCCAACTGCTGCAGCGTACACTCTCACAATGGGTTCTAGAACTTCATCTCGATACCGGACAGCCGTCAAAGAACCCCGTTTAAAGATGTGCAGGTCGGTGCGGTATCCTAATGAAATCCCTGCCAACACCATAATGCTTCCGCCTCGGAATGCGTGATGTTTTGGGACTGATTGCGTGTTCGTTGTTCACGCCATATCCTTATACGCTTGTCATCTGGCTCTAGAGCAAATCTTGACTCATCAGTAAACATGACATTGCCCCAGTCAGACACATTCCAATTGACATGTTCCCGGCACCACTGTAATCGTGCCCCTCTTGATTGGACGGATAGAGGAGCACAAACTCGAGGTACCCAGGCGTACAGTCCACTCATATGTAATCTTCGGCGTACATTAGCTGCAGATATCGCCTTACCATTGGACCCTGTAACCATAGATGTCACACGTGTGGAGGTCGCTCTGCGATTCTGCTTGGCTACTATAGCAATATATCGATCTTCCGCGGGGATTGTAACCCTTGAGCGACGGGCTACGGGCCTTCGGACAACTGTTTGTGTGGTTTGGAATTGTTTCCATAAATTCAAATTTCAAATTGTTCCGTGAAATTTTAGAATGATGAACGCCGAAGAAAAGAGCAACATCCGTGATCGACTGTTCTGCTTTAATTCGCCCCACGGCACGCCAGCGCTCAGGATCTTCCATTTGTCTTCTGGAAGTCATAGAAACACGTATGTCTTGAAAACAAATTGTACGAAAGTTTTAAACACCTTCTATCAGCAGTTACAATCAACTTCATTAAGCTTTCACAAAGCTGGCTTCTTATAAGACTGCCTTTTTTGCACATTTCTTGAAATGAAAGCGCGATTGGCTTTTACCTAACATATTTGCATACTTCCATCTACCTCTGCAGTGAATTGCATCCTCTTTAATTCTGATTGGCTTCCGAAAATTAGCAGTTTCCTCTCCGTGCTTAACTTTTGGAAGTGAGTGTATTTTTGTAAATGTATAGTGTCTGTGTGGCATGCGGGCGTTCTAAATATGCGGAGAGTCGAAAGTGCTGGCAGTGATGGCAAAGTGATGGCAGGGGAAGAGGGGTGGGAGACACTCGAACCCGTCCCTTCGGGGTGCTCGCTTTCAAAACTTCGGCCATAACTGAGCTAAAGTTGAGCTATGGTGCTCAAGGCTCGTGCCAACGTCGGGCGTATTCGATTCCTTGCTACAATCAATGTCGTGGGCTTGTGCTAGCAATTGTGAGTCAAGTGAGATTTGTAACAACATTTGAATTAACCAGTTATTTATAATTTCAGCCTTTATTAAACTTCGGACTCGTCTCCCTGGGGTGCTCTCCCTCAAAACTGTGGGCGGAACTGAGATAAATTTGGGCTGTCACCTATATGGCGCCTTCGACAGGCACATTTGACTCCTTGCCACGATGAATATAGTGCGCTCGTGCTCCCCATTGTCAGACAAGTGAGAGTGGTAGTGGTAACAACAACAGAATTTGCTTAGGAGAACGAGATGACAAGATATAGAGGACCGATAAATAAAGGTCTCTTATTGTGCGGCATAATATACTGTATCAAAGAATGGTAGAAATAAGGATAATTAATTTTGCTATCACTAAAAGCACACCAGTATCCAAACACTTGTAGCATCATTTCGTTTTAAGGCCCTTTTTTTTGATAAGTAAGAATTCTAAGAGGAGATGAACTGCGGTAATACATTACTGATAAAAACAAACAAGGCGAATGCTAGAAGTTAGATAGAATATAATTATTAAAAGGAAAAATACGTGCAAAAATTAAGTTAAATACTGTCTGACAACAGACAGCAGAACTTCCTGTCAACTTATTTATGACCAGCTAGTTGGGCGTTTAAACTCAGGGTGTGAGAAAACCTGTAAATTTGGAACATACTTAAATTTCCGCAACGAGTGTTACCATTTCGCCTAACTCACAATTGAAAAATATTCGAAATAACGTTTCGAAACTTATGGGTAAGCAAAAATTCTTACCTGTAATTATCCCGGGAGGGCTCCTTGTTTGAAAATAGATTCAGATCTTCTTATTGAGTTTCACATCTTGAAGTCAACTCTGTTCCCAGGTGCATCTTCGTTCTTTAATTTTATAAATGTTATTAATTGAGTGAGAAGTCAAATATAAGGAAATTAAATAAACTCATCCTTAATTAAGAATTTATTAATACGACATATTGCTCTCTAAAAATACTTGTGGAAGTAAGGAATAGAAAGCTTAAACATAACAATATTCCTTCGAATAATGTCAAAACCAAAAATGACCTAATTTCTGTTGCCAAAAGTCAAAAGTTGTTCAGTGGATTGTGGGCGGTGTCAGACAAAGTAAACCATGGGATTTGAGACAATGTCCTTTTCCAAATGCGGAAACATGCAGGAATACACTAATATTTTGTTTGATTTGCTAATATTTTGGCTTTGTTACCGACTGTCGTCACTTAGCTTATATTTCGAACCACAGATTTTGAACCAATGGGTATGAGATTAGTATGGGCATCGGTCATGTATCTAAAATCTATAAAGAAGTACTGATGAAATTTAGTAAAACTGTGTGACAAGCTTTTTATTTGCACTGTACCTTTTCATGTATTTATCACGTGTGGTTATTTTTAGTTTAGGCCAGGGTTTCTTAAACTGTAGGTCGCGACCCCCTAAGGGTGTCACCAAAAATTTTAACTGTTTTTATATTTTTTATTAAAATAATTTTACAATTACCAAATATTTTTACACAATATCTGAAAATAGATAAAGATAAGAGAATACAGACAAAGAAAAAAACGAAAACTTTTTCACATTGTTCTATGTCTTAAAATTAGAAAATAAAGTTAATGACCTAAAACTGTAATAGTATTTTACAATACAAGTGAAAACGTAGACAGTTTCACTCACGCGTGTGTCGCATTTGAGCAATACTTATGGGGTCCCACAACATTTTTGTAAATATTATGCGATCCTGGGGGTAGCGAAAAAATCTTAGTGATAAAAAGGGGTCGCGACTGAAAAAAGTTTAAGAAACCCGTGTTTAGGTAATACAAAAGAACAATTCCTTACATCTTTCATTTTTGTCATACATAATCAGAATTCTTATGTATTTATTTAAGTTTTTTAACAAAAAATTTTAATATCCAATTGATTTTTCGTTGCAGGCGGAAAGACACAAGAGCAAACAACAAAAGTGGGACAGGCAGCAGATTGTGGAACTGTATCCTCCAGTGGAGTACCAGCTGAAGAAGATTCTAGGCAGCAGAAGTCATCGAAAGAAACTTCAACCACCGTATCCATCAGCAAAACTGCGAAATGTCGTTTCACTGAAGTTGCTCGGTGTATGCTGGAAATAATTGAAGACTTGCAAATGAAGAAATTGCAACCAGATGCTGGAAAAGAAGGAGCAGATTCATCGACTGAAACTCAAAAACTCGAATCTTCATGTTCGGACGATAAAATACCAGACTCTAGTGCCAGTGCAGATCCAAAATCTAGCACTGAGTGCTATACAACAGCAGCGGAATACCATGTTTATGAGGAAATCGCTTATGATTTCTTAACAAATGGTACTGTACCTCTGCCTCCAAAGCGGCAAGAGATGCCACCACCTTTGCCAGCTCGACCCACTATTATATTCTCCAAATCGGAGCAACAAGTCGCTCAACAAGTGCGCTGTCGTGTGCCATCTCCACCATCTAGAAAAGGACGCTGTCCTTTACGCAGGAATCTGCAACAAACCTCTGACAGTTCTTCTGAAGAAGTCAGAAATAGACCAAAGCAGAGGGGAAACTTATATTGTCTTTTCGCTGATCGTGCAGAACGTAGAAATATCTCCAGATCTTTGGAAAGAGAGTGGCGAGTGACTGGAAATTCGGACAATCAAGATGATGATTATGGCTTTAAGAAAGAGTTTCCATCTATTTGATCGAAACTAAAATATAGAACCTGACACAGGAGTGAACAAAATGCGGGTATGATTTAAGAAAAAAATATCATCAACAGAAACAATTTTTAATCATTTCCGGTGTCCTTACTGCCACATTTCACTTCTGGACGCTGTACATACTTCATGAGGACATCTCTTCCACTTACAGGCGTGTCATAAATTACCAGAATAGTACAAAGGACTTACTGATCGGATTAAAAAATGAAAATTATTTGCATTCCGCTGTACTATAAATATTATATATGGTATATGAAATGAAAGCGATCTCTGAAAGATACTTGAAAATATTAACCACCAATTTATTACCTTTCTTATTACCAATTAGAAATGTTTTATCTATTTGTGAGAAAGAAATTATTCATTTCTTTTTTATCTTTAAACAAACTAATGGAGAAATTCTAAAATTTGATTACTTTTTTATCATATCTTGAGAATGTAAAAGTGCATTGTTTTTTAGAAAAAATTGTGAAATATTTATACTAAGCTAAAATTTTGAGTGGAAGAAAAACATATTTTTGTAAAAGTTTCCAGCTATATGGCTATTAAAATACCAAGTGATTATGTTGAAATATATGATCATATCAATCCTAATTGCATATGTTCAAAAATATTTATATTTAAATAGATGTATTTTAAAAGAGCAAATTCAGTTAATTGAAATTATAAGCAAACAGTTATCAGAAGATTGAGTTAGATATTTATTTACTTTTAAACAGTTACTTGTACATTATTGCCAAATACTTCCATATATTTGTTCTCTTGCATGAATTTAAATTACCATTATTCTTATGTTCTGTAGCCATATAAAAATGAATATAATACCTCTTCGCTTTTGAATAGATAGCTTAAGTGTATTTGTTATAAAGTAAAAGACAAATTTTCCATGAATTTGTTGATAAATTATTATTTGTAGGACTGTAAGATTTTAGTAGCTTACAAGAAAATTAAAGATATTAAAAATGTATTTTAGTAAGCAAATGATTTTAGTTACATTTCTTGTTTTCAAATATCACAAGAGACAAATTTCCAGGGTGTGGAATCTATACTATTAAAATATGTACGCATGTGTTTGTTTGTTTGTTACATCGTCGCCTCCGGAACGGCGGGGAGTTGAGTTTTGAGAGAGGTACCTCTTTGATTCCAAAAATTCGTGGGAAGCCATTTCGGCGATTCCCATATTCGTACTGCTTTAATTAGCCGACATATTAATAAAATCTCTGAAAACACGAATTTTCGCAGTCATTTTTCCGATAGCAACACTCTCGCGCGCTGGAGATAAAAATCTGCTTTATTCCAAAAAAGTGTTGCCACTGCTCGCTTTCAAATCGTAGAGCTTTATAATAAAAAATTTGTCAGTTTACAAAATATGAGATAAAAATATAATTTCCAAACATTAAATATATTATTATTATTAGATAAGATGGTATTCTGACGTTGAAGAAAGCACGCTACTGCATGTGACGTCATTCATTATCAAGTCGAAAATTTTTGCGTTAATGTCAGCATTTTAAATAAATAGCTGCTATTGGCAGCTTTTTTGCTTCAGGTTAGGGTAATTGACACGTTATTGCCACGTTAATTCTTTTATTGATATTGAGAAAAAGTTGTCATTATATTAAATTTAAATCGTGACATCACACGTATACGTATTAACCTGAAGTGTCAAAAGTTTTTGTTTCCTGGTTTGGCAACAAAAAATTATTTACGAATTGGTTGTTGCTAGGAAAGAATGAACTGATTTCATTCATACGTATTAATCTGTAGTGTCAAAAGTTTTTATTTCTTGGTTTGGCAACAAAAAATTATTTACGAATTGGTTGTTGCTAGGAAAGAATGAACTGATTTCATTCATACTGAAATATTTTTATACATTTTCTTTTCAGGCGTACGTTGAACTTATAAATTTTGCTTTGGCTGTAACTCACACGTCTGGCGAGCTTTGCCGCTAGTAAAGCTATATAAAATCAGAAAAGTAATATTTTCAGACACGAAATGAAAGATAATTTATACAGCATACTGCCTAAATTTAAAATTCAATAAAAAGCACATAACTCTAAGCACTGGCTTGGATAGTTTTGGTGTTAAAATAAAATCATCTTTGTTATTTTTATTAATTTTAAATTTGATATATTCTGTTAACATCGAAAGTGTTTGAAAATTACTTATTGACATTAGAAATTGTGTCTGTAACATTTGTAGCGTAGAATGTTTCAGATATGATTCTAAATTATAAATAAGTACTTAAAAAACCTGTTTTAAATTAAACACATGTATTTATTTAAATCTAAGTGATTATTGATAATATTCACGAAGCTGAACTCATTAAATGCTATAAGATAGCTATTAAATTCTTAAATATCTTTAATGGTTCTCTAATACCTAAATTTCTTCCAATGGTTAAGAGGACTGTGATGTTAAACAATATAAAAGAGATTAATACATCATTATACTTAATTACTTTATTTTGTATAGCAGCAATAAATAATTATTACTTTCTTCAAGCAAGGGAAAAACAAAGATAATTCGATTCTACTTCTCAAAATGCCGATAAAAGTAAAAAAGCCTAAATACAAGATTACTTACTGGTTTTCTCTTTCTTATTATCCACCAACCCATCAATAAACTCATTGACAGTACTGAGTTGTTCGATCATGAGGCGTTTTCTAAATTTCATCAAATATTTCGTTAAAATATTTGATGGTATTTCAAACTTGTTAATCTGGTAATTAGTAGATAATTAGTTTAACCTGTGCTTTCTAACCGTATAAATTGCTATAAAATATTTTGAAATATTTGTAAGCACCTGTACTGTATTTCAGCGTATGTACCTTTTCACTCTGTTTTTATTGTTTCTTCTGTCCTCACGTGTGCCTCTGAGTGTTTGTTTTCGTTTATGTGTCTTTATATACTTTCATAACTCAAATCTTATCCATCATAAGTGAATTGTTAGAGCTCATTGGAAATCACATTGTAGAGTTATTAAGATTTTTAGAAACAGAAGACATGAAAAATGAGCAATGCCTTTGCTGGGAATCGAACCTGGACCTCTCGAATATGCACAGAGTGTGCTACCGTTACACCACGAAGGCATGCACAAAAAAGGAAGAACGTACCTTATAACATATCAAAATTAATTACTCAGCTGAAATAAAAAGTTGTATCAGAATGTTTCTGTCATTCTATTAAAAATTTAGAGTGCCAGATAGGCAATTGCAGTTTATATGAATAAAATGTAGGGAACTATTTTTAGAAATGAATAGCCCCCCGAACAAACAAGCCAAAAAAATCGACCAAAAAATTTTCAAATAAAATTTGGAAAGCTCATATTCACACTTGTCTTTCCTCGCCTTGATTATTTTCCACCTACAAAAAATTTTGGGGTGTCAAAATAATAATAATAATAATGACAATAACAATAAAGAAATACTGAAGTTCGAGAGAATTTTAAAACTTTCATTTTGCGGGCATCTTCTGATCTCTTTCCACAGAAGATAACTTTTGAATCATTTAATATTGGGCACCTGGTCTCACAAGTATTTGCTAAGTCTTTTTTCTCTTTATAAGGTATTTCTCCCACCTTCGTGGTGTAGTGGTTCTGCACGCTGGCCCGGTATTCCAGAGATTCATGGTTCGATTTCCTGCGAAGGCGTTTGCTCATTTTTCATTTTGTCTGCTTCCAAAAATACCTAATGTCTCTACAAGTGGCGCCCGAACTAAAAGGGTGTTGGACGATGATTCTCCTCACCCAGGATTTGGCGATTGGGTCCCCTAAAAAAAAACCCAGTCGCCCTTTTAAAGGGGGAGTATATAAGGTGTTTCTCCCACCTTCTTGGCATGCCTTCATGGTGTAGTGGTTCTGCACGCTGAGCCAGTATTCTAGAGGTCCGTGGTACGATTCCCGGTGAAGGCGTTTGCTAATTTTTCATCTTGCCTGCTCCTAATGTCTCTACATCTTTAGTGGCTCGATATCCCAAATTCAGCCTTAACCTTCTCCGGAAGTCTTCTCCAAGCATCTCTGCTTTTGACAACTGTTTTCCAGCTTTTCACTATTAGAATGTTTAGGTCATTTTCAACAAAATCGATTTATCTCACCGTGGCTCTTCCTCAAGACCCGGTTTGCAGGAGCTTTTCTAGCAAGAATTTTTTACAACACCAATCTTCATGTATTCTGGGCCAGGTGACCAGCCCATTAAAGTCTTTGTAATTTGAAGAATTTTACTGCATCAGATTGTCTATGGATCTTATATAGCCCTAAATTAGACCTTTTTCTTCACGATCTATTCAACCTCACCAAGTTATGCAACGCAAAATACGTCTCCGAAAGCTTCCTCATCAAACGTAAAATCAGCGCCCAAGCTTCTGATATAAAAGTCAGGAATATCTTAACAAGACTCCTGTAAAGAAGCAATTTAGTTCTTAACTTGAGAAAACTGGATTTTAAATAGCTATTCAGGCCATCTACAAAGCATTTATTTGTAGGAGAGATTCTTTTAAGTATTTCAGAAGTTATCTTTTTTTAACAGTTCATTTCCGTCCCACAAACTTATATTTGGTACAATAGGTTATTAACACAGAGAGAGTATCGGCATATACAGGGAACTGAAATGTTTACATTAAGTTTTCAAAATATAAGTATGATTATACAACTTATCTGACTTATCTAACTTTTGCCTTCTACCTGGCTAATATAATTTTCCTTTGCATTCTCAACTTCATTTTAGAATAAAGTACTAATCTTGCTCATTTGTGAACGAATATGAATTTTACCGAAGACACACATAGCAAAGAAATGTTTGTATCGGGTCACAGCTAAGAAGTTTATCTCCTATTATACTTCTGTTATTGCTCACTAATATTTAAAAGTCCTAAGAACCAAATAACCTGACAGATTCAGGAACATGGAGATTGGACCAACGGAAACATTTTCGTATGAGAATACTGATCCGCTTTTGAGAAGACCGTGCTCGTGTAAATGGTTTTCGAAAGTTGAAAAAAAAAGTGTGGTCTTAAATATCTTTGCAAACCTAGAAGCGTCACGAAGGAATCACGGCACAGAAAAATTTGCAGATGGCTCAAAGTGAAATTACTGATAACATGGCATCTTTCAGTCTAGCTGAGACAATGCTGAGTTCTATGAAGTTCTTTGCATATAAAAATGAAAAAAAAAATTATTCTAAGTGAAGCACTTTCCATCGTCACTGTCTTCACTCTTTCAAGATATTAGGAAGATCTCTAGAACCAAGAGCACATTCATCAATTCTGATTGTGGCCATTTTGATGCAATACTAACATTATATGAAACAGATGAAAGCCTCTCGTAGGACTATAACAAAGAAAATATGAAAATCTCATACAAGTTCTTCAATGTGTAATGTAGGAAAGACGCCGCTGATAATTATGCAAGGGAAAATAAAACGATAAGGGGTACTTACGGAAAATCCCGTCGACCACAATAGACGACGCCAATCGCGCCAAACCACCAAAAAAAAAAAAAAAAAAAAAAAAACCATTTATACTAAATACAAGAAAAAATGTTCTATTCTTATTTTCCTTTCAAAATTATTATATTATCATTTAGTTATATTTAATTTTTCATTAAAAACTTCCATCATTAGTCCAAAGAGGCTTTATTGTCCCTGAAGAACATTGTTTTGTTTTGCGTTGAATCACTATAAATGTCCTTTTAACTTTTCAAACTGTTGCCACCAAATGTTAGAGTCCTGCATTTTATATTTGAAGAAATTAAATAATGAAAAAATCTGCATAAATGTATGTTACTATTTCTCGCATTGTGATAAAACAACCGTACGTAGAGTCCATCGAAGTTTGAATGACGTAATTCTCCTACTGCGAATATGAGGCATGTGGAAGCCCAAATTCAAAATTGGAATCTGTTTTATTATCTATTTCGATTTTGTAACACTTTAATTTTTTTGATTAACAAACTCAACGATTTCCAAAGCT